GGTTAGGAAATTATAGTGAAGCTGGGCGTGGTGGCCCATCCTGTAATCCCAGCACTTTGGGAGGTAAAGGTGGGGGGGATCACTTGAAGTCAGGAATTCGAGACGCATGGTGAAGCAGGTTAGATAGCCAGCATTTGTTTTTTTTTTTTTTTTTTTTTTTTTAGAAAAGCAGAATACAAAATTTAGCTGGTCATGGTGGTGGGTGCCTGTAATCCCAGCTTCTTGGAAGTCTGAGGCAAGAGAATCGCTGCAGCCCAGGAGGCAGAGGTTGCAGTGAGCCGAGAATGCACCACTGCACTCCAGCCTGGGTTACAGAGCCACTCTGTGGAAAGAAAGAAAGAGATAGAGATAGATAGAGAGAGAGAGAGAGAGAAAGGGAAAGGAAAGGGAAAGAAAAGGAGGAAAGGAAAAGAAAAGAAAGAAAGAGGGGAAGGGGGAGGGGAAGCAGGAAGGGAGAAGAGGGGAAGAGGCGAAGGGGGGAAGGGAGAAGAGGGGAAGAGGGGAAGGTGGGAAGGAGGGGGGGAAGGGGAAGGGGTAAGGGAGAAGAGGGGAAGACGGGAAGGGGAAGGGGGGAAGGGAGGAAAGGAGGAAGGAAGAAAGAGAGAAAAGAGAGAGAGGAGGATGGGAGGGAGGGAAGGAACAGTGATGGGGTTCCAGGTTTGGAACTCTGGGTGGCAGTCAGACATTGTCTGCATTTTGGGGGGTTGTAAAGATGAGGTCCCTGCCTGGAGTGGCTCTTGCCCAGGCCTGGTAGCAGAGAGGCAGAGTGCTGTGAAGCAAGGAACACGGATCTGCAGTCACCTGCAGTCACGTTCAGACCGCAGCTTCTCCCAGGACTCAGGTGAATGGGACAGGCTCTGAGTTTCAGTCTTTTCCTTCTGTAAGGTGGGGATAGGAGGGAGAGCAGACAGGCTGTGAGGATTAAATAAAATGGCACAGAAGAAGGTGTCTCGCATGCAGCTGGGGCCTGATGGAGGGTCACTAGGATTGCCCAGCCTCTGAGAGGGGCAGCCAGGCGGCTCCTGAGAGTGAGGAAAACAAGCGGAAGAGCCCAGAAGGAACTTTCAACCCAGAAAAGACGCTGTGGCCTTCGCGGGTCTTCATATAATCTGTGAATATGAAGAATGAGTGAATGATGAAGCAAGACAGGGGCACCGTGGCAGTGCCCCCATCAGCGTGGCACCCGCGTGACTCTGTGCACGTGTGTTGGTTTAGTGTCTGTTGTTTCTATGAAAGTATGAGCATCTTGAGATTGTGAGCTGTGCCTGTCGTGTTCCCATCATCTGGCCAGCACCTGGCACACAGTAGGTGCCCACAATTCACATTGATAGTTCCTAGAAAAGGCATGTTGAGGAGGCCAAAATAATAGTCATGGAAATGAGGCCAGGCGTGGTGGCTCATGCCTGTAATCCCAGCACTTTGGGAGGCTGAAGTGGGCAGATTACCTGAAGTCAGGAGTTTGAGACCAGCCTGGCTAACATGGTGAAACCCCATCTCTACTAAAAATACAAAAATTAGCCAGGCATGGTGGTAGGCACCTGTAATCCGAGCTACTCAGAAGGCTGAGGCAGGAGAATTGCTTGAACCCAGGAGGCGGAGGTCGCAGTGAGCTGAGATCACACCATTGCACTCTACGCTGGGTGACACAGTGAGACTCTATCTCAAAAAAAAAAAAAAAAGTCATGGAAATAAGAAAGCTGGAGAACTGAAATTACTAGACCCCCCTGAAGTGGGACTCAGACACTAAATTAATAGTGGGCTTCCCTCGCCAACCCTGACAGAGGCCAGCATCTGCTTTGCTTCGCTCTCAGCCCTGAGGTGGGGTCCAGATGCTGCAGTATGCTTTGTACCCTTCTGAATCAAGGAAGGTAGCCGGAGAGGAAACCAAGGCTTGGGGAGCAAACCGCTGCCTGCTCTGGTGTCCTTCAGGGTTTTCCAGCCCTGAGATGGGTGCGGGGGAGGCATTTACTTTCCTTGGGGCAAACGCCTCTTATCCATCAAGGCACAGATCTGAAGCAGGTGGCGCAGAACACTTGCTCACTACATCACCGCTGCTATAATTACTGTTTATGTCAAGTGTATCTCCTGGGATCTCTGGGGCCCTCTGCAGCCTGGGGAAGGTTTGGGCTGAAGGCCCCTGGGGTCTGGGAGCTTTCTTGCTCTGCAGGGTTTTCCACAGTGCCCTAGGGTGTTTCTGTGAAAAGCAAAACCTAAAACAGCCATCAGGAGAGCAGGAGGGGATTAAAAGTTAGGATGCGGTCAGCTCTACTCTGCCTGCCTCTCAGAAGGGTGCCGGAGGGGTTAATTAATACAAATTAACAAACGCCCTTGCCTGTTCATCAGATGCCCCTGCAGGTGATGACCTGCCAGGCTGATGTCTTTCCTGGGGACTCCACTAGTGGCTGGAGAGTGTGTGGCAGTGCCCAGGGAGATGGTCACAGATATGCAGAAGGGCCTGGAGGAGATTCCCAACCAAGGGGCTGGGGTTATAGGAGGGTATCTCTGAGGACTCAGGAACATTCTACGGGGAACCGAAGAGACCCAGGAGTCTCTCTCTTCACACACTGCATTTTGGGAGATGGTGAACTGGAGAGCAGGAGCCTTAAACCTAAGGCAGACAAAGCTACAAACCTATCTTTTAGCTTTGTGTTTGTAGCTCCCAGCTTCTGGTCTATGGGAGAGCGAGTTCCTTGTCTCTGGCCATAGTCAAGGGCAGCCCCTCAGGAGGAGTTAGTTTGTTTTTAAAAAATATTTATTTATTTATGAGGCAGAGTCTCACTCTGTCGCCCAGGCTGGAGTACAGTGTCATGATCTCAGCTCACTGCAACCTCTGCCTCTTGGGTTCAAGTGATCCTCCTGCCTCAGCCTCCCAAGTAGCTGAGACTATAGGCCCCTGCCACCATGCCCAGCTAATTTTTGTGTTTTTAGTAGAGACGGGATTTCACCATGTTGGCCAGGCTGGTCTCGAACTCCTGACCTCAAGGAATCCATCTGTCTCGGCCTCCCAAAGTGCTGGGATTACAGGCGTGAGCCACTGTACCCAGCCAGGAGGGGTTAATTTGTATTAATCATTAATGAGACCATGGACAGTGGAAGCCTCTCCCCATCATAAGGTTGCACAGACACATTTAGTGGCATTGGTGTTTGGCCATGGATTGCCAGATGCGGTGGGCTCTGTAGGTGTGATAAGGGAGAGACGCTCCCTGCTACCCATGAGTCATCTTTCCATGGTTGGAGCTGTCCTATGGTCTCTCTATCCTTTGCTCCTTTTCAAGATCTTTCCCTCTTTCCTTTCACCTGCTCCAGGCATAAGCATGGGCCTCCTCTCTGCCTCCACAGAGGAGGCTCAGGGAGTGAGGCAGGCTGTCGAGGACAGGGACAGATCAACATGACCCAGGCCACCCTCAGATCCAATCCTGGCTGGACTATGACCCACAGCTGGGTTTCCCTGAACACACGCCTTAATTAATCTCCCAGAGTTCGGCTGCCTTTCTTTTTCTTTTTTGAGATGGAGTCTCACTCTGTCGCCAGGCTGGAGTGCAGTGGTGCGATCTTGGCTCACTGCAACCTCTGCCTCCCAGGTTCAAGCGATTCTCCTGCCTCAGCCTCCCAAGTATCTGAGATTACAGGCGAGCATCACCATACCCAGCTAATTGTTGTATTTTTAGTGGAGATGGGATTTCAGCATGTAAGCCAGGATGGTCTCGATCTCCTGACATTGTGATCCGCCCACCTCAGCGTCCCAAAGTGCTGAAATTACAGGCGTGAGCTTGGCTACCTTTCTTGTCCATATCGAGAGAGGGACAGGTCTCCTCCCTTCGTCCTGGGAGCTGGGATGTGGGAGGTGCACATTCTTGCTGGCCTTCTCCCCCACCAGCATGGTCTGGGCAGAGTGGATTGGTTTACGGGAAACATTCTGTTACCCCACACAGTGATCTTGCCATACTGGTAATTCACCTGGACTTTATGTGTGGGCTGGGGATGCTCCCTCAAGCTTTCTAATGGAGGCATGCCTCTTGGGGAACAGGCTGGCTAGGTAGAAGCTGGCCTGCTTGGGGTCTAGGAAGGGAAATGAGAGAGGGGGTTCTGGGAGCCATCTTCCAGACTTGTCTTCTGATACCAAGCCTGGACCAGCTGCAAAACCCAGAGGGCAGCCAATCTGGCTGGTACCTTTGCCACAAGATTCCTTCTCGACTTGGCCAAACGGCCCACTGCTTCTGGTCCCGATTTTAGTGAGGGTGGGGTTCCCAGGGAAGCTCCAAGTGAGTTCACCGTATTTGGAGTGTCTGGGCCAAAGCTGGACCGCCAGGCCTGTTCAGTGGTGGCCATTGTGTATCATTGTTTCTGCAGGAAGGTTGGCCAAACATTCTGGCTGAATGGTTTCCATCTTGTGTCACCCTAAAACCAGAAATTTGCGAAGCACTAGTGTGCCTAATCTGAAGGCTGTTTTTTTTTTTTTTTTTTTTTTTTCTTGAGATAGGGTCTTGCTCTACCACCCAGGCTGGAATGTAGTGGCACCATCATAGCTCACTGCGACCTTAAACTCCTGGGTTCAAGCAATCCTCCCTCCTCAGCCTCCCGAGTAGCTGGAACGACAGGAACACACCTTCACGTCCGGCTAAGCTTTTTTTTTTTTAAAAAAAAACAGATGCGGCCTCACTATGTTGCCCAGGCTGGTCTCAAACTCCTGCCTTCAAGCGATGATCCTCCCACCTCAGCCTCCCAAAGTGCTGGGATTGACAGGCGTGAGCCACCACACCTTGTTCGCTAAAGATTATTGATCAAAATAAAGTTTCTTTGAGGCCTCAGAAGGTTCTGGAGGTGATGCTAGAAACTTGCTCCCGGCTGTGCTGAGTGGAGACCAGCTGATCTCGGGCCATCGTTTTATCTCACCAAAACCTTAGCATAGAGCCCTTCCCAGCCACCCTCCCTGCGGGGTGGGCCCGCCCGCCACGCCCACCGCGCCTCGCGGGGGCTGACTTCCGGCTTTGTGTCCACAGGCTGCTGAACAGGATGTCCTCGGATGACAGGCACCTGGGCTCCAGCTGCGGCTCCTTCATCAAGACCGAGCCGTCCAGCCCGTCCTCCGGCATCGACGCCCTCAGCCACCACAGCCCCAGTGGCTCGTCCGACGCCAGCGGCGGCTTTGGCCTGGCCCTGGGCACCCACGCCAACGGTCTGGACTCGCCACCCATGTTTGCAGGCGCCGGGCTGGGAGGCACCCCGTGCCGCAAGAGCTACGAGGACTGCGCCAGCGGCATCATGGAGGACTCGGCCATCAAGTGCGAGTACATGCTCAACGCCATCCCCAAGCGCCTGTGCCTCGTGTGCGGGGACATTGCCTCCGGCTACCACTACGGCGTGGCCTCCTGCGAGGCTTGCAAGGCCTTCTTCAAGAGGACCATCCAAGGTGCGTGGTGGGCCTGGCCGGGCCTGGGCGCGCGGGGTGGGGGCTCGGGGGTGGCGGCCCTGCCTGCGGGTCCGGCAGAAACCCTGGGGATTCTGAGGCTGGCAATTCCGGGCGCTGTTGCAGCAGTGCTTCTGAGGGGCGTCTTTTCCCTTACTCGGGGTGTCTCCTTCTGGGGCTGGACAGCTGCAAGAAGGCTGTTGAAAGGACATGCGTTCCCCACCCTCTCAGTCCCCCATGCAGAGCCCCAGGAAATCCAATGAAAATCCACAGAATGCCAATCCCTGGGTGCTTCTCACTGGTATGGGGTACACTGTCAAATGTGTGTCCCTCAACAAGTTTATTTTGTGGGGGGAATAACACAATTTGCCTGCAATTCCAGATCTATCGGAAATATAAAGGGCCCCTCACTTTGTTTTTGTCTTTTTTACTTGTATAAGTAAAACGACAGACTTGGTGACTCACGCCTGTAATCCCAGCACTTTGGGAAGCCATGGCCAGAAGATGGCTTCAGGCCGGGAGTTGAGATTAGCCTGGGCAACACAGTAAGACCCCATCACTAAATTTTTTTTAAAATTAATACATGGTGGCACACACCTCTAGTCCCAGCTACTTGGGAGGCTGAGAGGGAGGATCATTTGAACCCAGGAGTCCGAGGCTGCAGTGGCCTGTGATGGCACCACTACCTTCCAGCCTAGAAGACCCTGTCTCGAAAACAAAAAACAAATAATATGTGAGTATTTTCTCATTGTAGAAGACTCAGGCCTGTTGGAATACGAACAGGAACTCACCCTCTCTGGATCCCAGTTTGACCTATCTTTTAAGCCTTTCTCTCTCTTTCTTTTCTTTCTTTCTCTTTCTTTTTCTTTCTCTCTCTTTGTTCCCTCCCTTCCTTCTTTTTTCTTTCTTTCTTTTTGTTCTCTTTCTTCCCTTTCTCTCTTTCTCTCCTTCCTTCTTCCCTCCCTCCCTTCCTTCCTTCCTTCTTTCGTTCCTTGAGATGAGAGTCTTGGGCCGGGCACAGTGGCTCACGCCTGTAATCCTAGCACTTTGGGAGGCCAAGATGGACCTTGAGGTCAAAAGTTCTAGACCTGCCTGGCTAACATGGTGAAACCCTGAAAATGCAAAAAGGAAAAAAAAAATCAGCTGGGCGTGGTGACACTCACTTGTAATCCCAGCTACTAGGGAGGCTGAGTCAGGAGAATCGCTTGAACCCAGGAGGTGGAGGTTGCAGTGAGCCAAGATCGGGCCACTGCACTCCAGCCTGGGCGACAGAGTGAGACTCCATCTCAAAAAGCGAGAGAGATGAGAGTCTTGCTGTGTTGCCCAGGCCGGGTGCAGGTGGCTATTCACAGGCATGATTATTGCACACTGCAGCCTTGAACTCTGGGCTCAGCCTCTCAAGCAGCTAGACTGCCACCACGCCCATAAGCTTTTTTTCCCATACATTTACATATCAGCTGAGTCACATTCCAATGGCCGTGGGGGTGGCAGCCTCTTTCTGTGGGTACTAGAGTGAATCACTCTGACAAAGGAGTGCAAGAATCCTGGTGGGTCGCTCTGTAAGTCATCCCGAGGTAAACTGGGGAGAATGGTGAGCCTGCCCCACAGGGTTGTTATCAAATTCACAGCAGAGAGAGACCGCTGGGACCACTGGTGGACACCACCACATTCAGTTCATTTTTGAATTTTAGTAGAGATGGGGTCTCACCATGTTGCTTAGGCTGGTCTCAAACACCCGGGCTCAAATGATCCACCCACTTTGGCTTCCCAAATCCTGAGATTACAGGTGTGAGCCACTGTGGCGGGCCAATAGCTGTTATCCTTAATTGCAGCAGGCACTGGGCGGAGCACTTTCATTCAAGTTAGTCAATATCAAGTTAGATCTGTTGGGCATCTACTAAGCACCAGGCCAGGCTGTGGGTGCTGGGGATAGGATAGGTAGAAACCTGCTCATGCAGGTCATTGTGATGAGCTGATGTCATCAGACTGGAGAAAACCCAGGGACCACCCAGCCTGCCCCTGCATCTGATCCCTCTCCAGGGCTCTGCCTGGCTGTCCCGGGAATGTACCCACCCCACTCCATTCTCTTTTGGAAGAGGCAGACCGAGCTTCCCTGGGATGAATCTGTTAATTATTTATGTGTTGACATTTCTTCAGATGGCAATCTGTGAAGCTAATTGAGGACATTAGGATTGGACTTGTTTCCAGTTCCACACGTTAGTTGAGGTGTAGTGCATTGGCTAACCACCAGGGCTCCTGGTCACACGGTTCCATTGTTCCCTTATGGCCGCACCTTGGGCAAGCTGACTCAGTTTCTCTCTCTGCTGCAGTTACTTCATCTAAAAAGTGAGATATCAGCTGGGTACGGTGGCTCACACCTGTAATCCTAGCACTTTGGGAGACTGAGGCAGGTGGATCACTTGAGGCCAGGAATTCGAGACCAGCCTGGCCAACGTGGTGAAACCCCATCTCTACTAAAAATATAAGGATTAGCCAGCCATGGTGGCAGGTGCCTGTAATCCCAGCTGCTTGGGAGGCAGCAGGAGAATCGCTTGAACCCAGGAGATAAAGGTTGCAGTGAGCCAAGATTGCGCCACTGCACTCCAGCTTGGGCAATAGAGCAAGATCCTGTCTCAAAAAAAAAAAAAAAAAAAAAGAAAAAGGAAAAGCTTACATGAGTTAATATATATAAAGCACTTAGAATATTGCCTAGCACCTAGTAAGTGCCAAACAAATGTTTGTGGTTATTATTTTCACTTTAACATCATGTTTTTTTTTTTTTTGTTTTTTGTTTTTTGTTTTTAAGATGGGGTTTTATCATGATGGCCAGGCTGGTCTTGAACTCCTGACCTCAGGTGATCCACCCACCTTGGCCTCCTAAACTGCTAGGATTACAAGCGTGAGCCACCGCGCCCGGCAACATCATCATTTAAGACATATTATTATGAAAACAACAGACATTTATCTTACAGAGCAAGCTTTTGTAATCTACCTATATTTAAATAAAACAATCATTGTTTTGATCTAACAGGATTAAGATTATTTTAGCTATGTTAGTTATAAATTTCTTTTTTCTTTTTCTTTTTTCTGAGATGGAGATTCGCTCTGTTGCCCAGACTGGAATGCAGTGGCACAGTCTCATTGCAACCTCTGCCTCCTGGGTTTAAGCGATTCTCTTGCCTCAGCCTCCTGAGTAGCTGGAATTATAGGCACCTACCACAATGCCCAGCTAATTTTTTGTATTTTCAGTAGAGATATGGTTTCAACATGTTGGCTAGGCTGGTCTCAAACTCCTGACCTCAAGTGATCCAACTCGGCCTCCCAAACTGCTAGGATTACAGGCATGAGCCACTGCGCCCAGTCATAAATTGACTTATTTCTTAAATGAATGTGTTTTTTTTTTTTTTTTAAAAAAAAGGTTAAAATTCTAGCAGTGCAAAAGAGTAGAGCAAGCTTTCCTGAAACCCCAGACCTCAGTTTTTTTTTTAACTATCCTAGAAGGAGCCCTTTGCCATCTTTGTCAAGCAAATATTTATTAAGCATCTTCTGTATTGGGCACTGTGCTGGCCTCCAGGACATGAAAATGAAAGCACCCTGGTCTCTGCCCACTTTCTACTCCCTGAGTCTGAGTCCAGGGGAAGGCCTTGGCATCTCTGTATTTGAAAAGCATTGCATGGTGATGCTGTCTCTTGCTTCAGCCAAGAGTGAGAACCTCCAGTCTGATGATTTTCACACAAATCATTGGATATTTGACAAACATAAAATGTTGAAGTCAATTGACATTACCAAAATAACAACATTTTTCTTTCTAAATTGTAAGGTGGTCTTGGCGAGGTTGTCATTTTTTTATTTTTTATTTTTTGAGACAAGGTCTCACTCTGTTGCCCAGGCTGGGGGGCAGTGGTGTGATCTCAGCTACCTGCAACCTCTGTCTCCAAGACTCAAGCGATTCTCCTGCCTCAGCCTTCTGAGTAGCTGGGATTACAGGCACATGCCACCATGCCTGGCTAATTTTTGTATTTTTTTTTTAAATAGAGATGGGGTTTCACCATGTTGGTCAGGCTGGTCTCAAACACCTGACCTCGTGATCCACCCATCTTGGCCTTTCAAGGTGCTGGGATTACAGGTATGAACTACCATGCCTGGCCTGAGGTGGCCATTATTTTAGACTCTCTGAAGTCAGTGTTTGAAAAATTGCTTGTTAGAAGACAGTCACATTTTCTTCTCACCACATTGTTCTTAGATGGGCTGGAGAGTTCTGGATCACATTTTTTGAAAGGAGAGGCCAATGTGCATAAAATCAGAAATCCTACTGCATGCTTGACAGAGGCCCTGGTGGCTGCGAATGTTCTCAGCAAGTCAGAGTCCACATGAAAGATTTGTAAATAGTCTTGATTACTTGCTACCGTGAATAGGATAATGATCTCTTCGTAGAAGTCAAAAGACAAACAGCAGCATTTGTGCAGTTGGGACTGAACTGCTGCGACCTCTTCCCTTTCTCACAAGGAGAGTTTCAAGTTCATAACCAGAAAGAGGTTTATATTCAGAACAGGGAAAAGTAAACTCAAGGCTGACAGATTGGTCTGTTATTTTATTAACTCTTTGGTTTTGTTCTAAGAAAGATTTAGGTTATGTTGGTTTTTTTTTTTGAAATGGAGTCTCACTCTGCTGCCCAGGCTAGAGTGCAGTGGCGCCATCTCAGCTCTCTGCAACCTCCAACTCCCAGCTCAGCCTCCCAAGAAGCTGGGATTACAAGCATGTACCACCACACCCGGCTAATTTTTCTACTTTTAGTAGAGACAGGGTTTCGTCATGTTGGCCAGGCTGGTCTCGAACTCCTGATCTCAAATGATCCTCCCACCTCGGCTTCCCAAAGTGCTAGGATTATAGGCATGAGCCACCATGCCTGGACAGATTTTGTTGTTTCTAAATGTAGCAATTGCAGAAAATCTCGAAAAATAGGCAAAATACGGAGAGGACAAAAATGACCTATAATTGGACAA